AGTCTTCAAATCTCTGGGGGGGCAAGGAGCACCACAAGTGCAGACCGCCTCAACTGAGGCCTCTAAGCCGAAACTTTGTACTTAGCAAAAAAAAAAAAAAATTCTAATATTCAAAGCATGCAAGTTCAAAGCAAGGCAATATGAGGGAAATATCAAATCCATAAATACGAAATCATGCTCGGATTACGAGCTACAAACATAAGTGTTTAACCAAACTGAAAGATAATATCGGCAGCCGCCCACAAGTGGAAAATAACAACTGCCGAAATACGTACAAAGACAAAAATAAACTGTTTGTACATCCAGGCAAGCTGAAGGAAAAAATAAGGCAAAAAGGGATTCAGAAAGCGACAAGTCTGAAGCTAAGCACATGTTGATCCGCAGGACTCTGAAGACGACTGCCCGATTTCCTATGCTTCAGCCGAAGGGTCAGGCTGGTCAGCAGTGCCTGGTCCCTGGGCAGCCTCAGCTCCAGCAGCAGAGGAGGCAGGTTGGGCTCTTGCCTGGGCATCAGCAGCTCTCTGTTCAGCCTCCAGCTCCCTTCGTTCAGCTTCTTCCTCGGCTGCTTCAGCCTGTAGGATTTCATGCTCAGCAGGAGTAGGATACATCATGTGTGGATCCTCGGGATCCTGAACCCAGAGCGCGCACTTAGCCCAGTCCAGCGAGGGCTCAGCATGGAGAGCCAGCCTCCGGGCCACCCTAAACCCATTCATGTAACCCATCTCAAACTCTTCTTGGGTGTAGAGGCGAACCCGGAGCAGGGCTTCAGCATCAGCCAACTTCTTTTGATTCTCCTCCAAATCTTTTTTAGATTTCTCTAATTCTTCTGAGAGTTTGGATGAAGAAGTCTTCTGCTCGTCAAGCTCCAGCTGGACATTTGAAGTCTCGGCCTTGGCTTGGGTCAGCTCATCTCCCTTAACCTTCAACTGATCTTCCAGATCTTTCAGCTTCTGGTCCTGGGCCTCAGCAGCAGCTTGGGCAGTAGAGAGTTCAGTGTCCCTGGCCTAATGAGCCTCTTCAGCAGCCATCCTACTGGATTCAAGGGCCTCCAGCCTCTGCTCCACCTCCTGGACTCGCCCAGCAGCTTCGGTAGCCACTCGGCATGAGATGGCCTCCCTGAAGCTGGGGATGTAGAAAGCCCCAAGCTCATTGATGACTCTCTCCCCGGCCATTAGAGTAGGGAAGACCTCAGTCTCCATGGCGTGGCAGAAAGTCTGAAGGGCCTGCGCAGCCTACTTCTCATATTTCTTGGTTGCCGCCTGCTTCTCCTCAGCAGCCTGCTGCTTCAGCATTGCCAAATTTGCCTCTCCTGGGCGATTTTGGTCTCCTCCCGGGCACGCTCCAGCTTGTCCTGAAGGGTGTCTATCAGCTCTACAGTGAGAGTCTGATTGTGCACAACCTGGTCACAGGAGCACATCAGTAAAAAAAAAGAGAGAGAAGAAAAAGAAGAGCTGAATTAAGAGAGGAAAGAGCATAAACGGTTAAGTACCTGCATCAGCAAGCGCTGGTTGTCCCTGGCAGGGTCAACGACCCTTCGGCTAGATTCTCCCATTCTAGCAGTGGCCTTCAGCGACCACACCCTAGCTCGATCTACCTCGGACATACCAGTAAGGTCGCCGAAGTAGCCCGCAGCTCCTTCTCGGTTTTGGCCCCAAATACGTTCCCAAACGGGTTCGGGGATTGTGATGGGGGGGGCCGAGAAACCCAGGTCTCCAGAGTTCAGCGTCTGGAAAGAGGGAAAGGAAGAAGAAGGAATCTCCTGAGCCTTATCCGGCTCAGCACTCTTTTCCCCTTCGGCGGAGTCCAGTTGGTCTCTATCAGGGTCAACAACAATGACCTCTTCTTCCTCCCCTAACTCAGGTTGACGAAGCAAGGCGTCAACCTCTCTATCAATGTCGACTGAGAAACCTTCAGCAATTGTTTCTTAGCAGCTTCAGCAGAGCGCCCTATGGCACTCCCTTGATTCAGATCTTCTCCTTGAACCCCCTCTTTTGGATCGGGAGTTCTTTGGTCCACCTCCATTTCTTGAGTTTCGGGAGGTGGAGGAGGGGTTCGAGGAGGCGGGAATTCTGGCGGAGGGGGAACCCTCGGCAAGCCTCTACCTTCATCAGGCTCCCTGATATGAATGCCTCCAGTAGGCATCAACCCCGTCTGAAACTGGCGAGGTCCCAGCACTGCTATCCTCCTCCTCATCTTGGCCAAGGGTTGTTCGTCCATTTATTCAGATTCAGACGAAAGCGAATCTTCAGGACAAGCATGTGCTTTCCCTTCTCTCCTTCCGCTCCCTTCCTCGGACTGCAGAAATGGGGGGCAGTAAAGGAGTAAAGGTTTGAGTAACAAAAAAAAAACAAAAAACACAACAACAACAACAAAAACAAAAACAAAACAAAAGCTAAGGAGCTTACCAAAACCCTCGGCGGAGCTTCGGCTGCAGAAGTACCCTGCTCGGCAGTGCCAGACGTTCCTACACCTCCTTTCAAGGAATTAATCGCCCTGGATACGTCTTCGGCTATCTGAGCAGCCTGTGCTTCCTCGGGTAATAGGGGCCTCAGGGGATCTCGCTTCTCCCACCAAGGCTTCTGCTTGGTATAATCTGCAGCAGCCTCGATCTGAAGGCCCGTTGAATGCAAATGTAACGGACGGTCCTTCGGAGCTGTGATCGCTGGAGCTCGGTCTAAGATGACCCGTTCAGCGTTCACCCCCAGCCGACCGTAGTCGATGCCCGAAGTAGCCTCGCTTAGCTCTCAAAAGGCAAAAACGAAGGTTAGACTGAGGGAATGGACGCTAAAAATAAGCAAAAAATAAATAAAGCAAGTCCTCGGCCCCAGCCGAAGATACTTACCACCTCTGTGCTTTCGACTGAGGCCGACAACTGCCAACATCTTCTCTTGGAAGACGTAATGGTTATCTGGAAGCCATCTGGTTGGGATGAACTTCATTCGGCCAGTCCCCCCAGGATTTTTCTGCTTCCCGAAGAAGCTCATCTGCTCATAGCTGGGGTGACGAGCGACATCGGGGTCTTCGGGGCCCAAATCCTGCATGTTCGGATCGGGCCTAGAGAGATAACGGGGAGCCCCAAAAAAATGGGGGTGCTCCGGATTAGCGGGAGCCCTTACCCAGATCCACTGGCCTTTCCAATCCTTATCCGAAGAATCGTTCGGCCACATAGTCAAATATTGTGGCTGGCTCTCGATTCGCCACCAGCCAGGCCCATGGTGACCGTATACGCTCTGGGTGTTCTGCACCAGCTGATGCATCCTTCAAAAACAATGCAAATTCGGTTCAACGGCAAAAACCGACATACCCAGAGATAGGTCATCACCCGCCGAATGCTGACAGGCCTCAACTGGCACAGGGAGATCCTGTACTTGATTAGAATGTCCCTGATGAAGGGATCTAGAGGGAACCGAAGCCCATATGGCAGTTGCCGAGTATATACTCTGATGTACCCAGGAGGGGGACGGTGAATTCTGTCAGTCGGCGAAGGCACTCGGCACCAGTACCCATCCTCCTCGAAAATGTCGTAGTGCAGTTCTATTTGTTCGGCAAACCGGTAGGCTTCGGCATGCCTAACCCACCAAGAGTAAGGGGCATTTTTTACCATAGCTTGCTAGGCTTCGGCATTTTGCCACTCAGCATGCCCTGGGAGCAAGTCCCAAAGAACAGCAGGCAAATCCTCTACCTGCTCTGCTCGTCAGCCCCGGCGTCTTGCTGGGGTGGCGCGACATTCAGAGGAACGGCCGGAATCCCCCTCTCCGGGTCTTCCTCGACTCGTTCCCCGTTCCAAACATCGGCACGGTCTCGGGGGTCCCTAGCCTGACCCCGCCGCCAGGGTTGACGCCCTCTTCTTCGAGCCATAGTATAATTCGGAGGAGAAAAGGGGGAAAAAAGGGAATTCTTTCAAAAATTCAAGAAAATCAAGGGAAATTCAAAGAAATTTACCTTCAAATGGATTGAAATGCGCCGGCTAAGTCAGTCGAAACGGCGGATTCAAGTGTCGACCTTTGGTTCGGAGATATTGCGCGAAGTTTTCAAAGCGGAAAAATGGCGTTTTTGCAAGAATTCGAGTGTAATTTGGTGAAGAAATGAGGAGAGAAGAGCAAATTCGGACTTATATTTCCAAAAAATGGGAATTTCGAAGGTCAGAACGCTTAATTTCTCTTAAACACCTCCTTAAGTAACCGTTAAACACTTTATCTCTTAAAATAACCGCTCATTATCCATTCAACTTCCCCACTAATTATCTTAATTACAGTTATTTAGTTGATGACTGTTTAAAATTTAAATCTTTTGATTTAATTAAATCATTTACCTCCCTCCGTTTTTATTGAATTCAAACCCGACCCGTCATCCTTCCAAATTGGGTCTGGGGGGCAAGTTGTTCAGGTCCAATTAAGCCAATTGAGCCTAGTCATTAAATGATCCAATATTCCAAGGTCAAGGCCCAAGCCTTCATTAAGCCAAGTCAACATAAAGTCAAGCGGCCCAAATTGTCATGGTCAGCCCATGACTAAGTCTGGCCCATTCATTCTCATCCATTTGTCATACTAAGGTATAAAAGCCTTCAATCTTACCATTTATGATGGATACACAACTAAAGCCTCAAGCATTAGCTCTCTTGCATAGCTTTTCCCTCTAAACACTGTTTGACTTCGGCATCGGAGGGGTCTTCCTCGGATCCACCCCCGAGGCCAGTTTACGTGTGTTTGCTGTGCAGGAAACCTTCGGCCCAGCGTTACTTGGACCGGACGAGTCTTCATCCACTTCATCGGACCTTCGGCTAGGTCCCATTGTTTTCACCCGAAACAACATGTATACTCCATATATAGTATTGGTCTTTCTAGATTAATAAGTTTATGCAAGACAAGAAATTTCCATTGTTTTAAAAATCCTTAATTCCTAATACCAGTATTGTTTAAAAATCTTCAAATCTTAAACAACCAATTAATATATCAAATGAGGGATTTTATAACTTAGCAAGAAATCAATCAATGTACTTCTATCTCAATGCCTTTTCTTCTGTCATTATAATATTCAAAGTAACACTATACAACTCTACTTTTTAGTTACTACTAAACACGGACTCTTACAATTTGCCATTTGACTAACAGCAAAATTTTGAATGAGGTCCTAAAGAGTATAGAATCACCGCACAAAAAAGGGGAGACAACAAGTCTAAACACACAAAAACTGAGTATAATGCATCATCTATGAGCATTGCAGTGTATATGATATACTAGGGAAAATCGTCAAGACAGCAAATCAGTAATGATACGTCACTCACGAGCTCAACTGTCAAAGATGAGTTTTGTTCTGTCTTCTAACACACGTACACACACTGGAAAAAGGAAGTCCTTTTTCACCCACAAAAGCTCTCATATCACTGGGGTCTTCTGCTCTACAAACTTGAGCTTCAATATCTTCTGCTGAAGTCAACAGTTACAGGTTATGGATGATCATGATCAGGATGATCCTCTCCTTGAAGATCTACTGTAGTCATGTCGGCCATTTCATTATGTTTTGGTGATCCACCAAGGACTTGGGTTGGCACAGGTCCTGGTTTCCCATCATTCTTCTTCTTGGCATTCTTACGCCACTTTGTTAGAGCTTTTGACGTTTGCTCATCAAATATCGATCTCTTCATAGTTGATCCCATCTGTCAATCCCAACAAAAATAAGCGCCTCCAAATAGGTAATCACTTAATTAGTTTTTATTGCATAAATACAAAGAGGAAATGAATGTTTGAATCCTTGAATTGTTTAGATACACACTTTTTTTGAAAAATTCAGTCTTAACAAGCTAAACATAGCCAAGTAGGGCACAAATGACATGAAATAGCTTACCTGAGTCACAAGGGCATACAACGGGAGTGTGATGTAGCAGCACATGAATTGAACTGCTACCCTGCGATTGGAAATTTTTCCATAATGTTAAAGAAGCAAAAAAGCTGGGAACTATTTTTTAATTGTTTATGCAAAGTATACGTTAAGCAATATTGATAATTTCATGTAATATGCCTACTGTAAATTAATGACAATTTTGCTTTTACTTTTCTTAACATTTTCTTTCCCAATTTAAAATTGCAAATACTGTCCGGAAACAGTGTGCATTGCAACAACATTACATATAGAACAGCCCTTACTAAAATTCCCCAGTCAGATGCTTGAGATATAAGAGGCTTTCATTTTTCCAGCTTCCACCCATGATACAAGGTTTAGGCTTTAGAAGAAGAGTTAGTTGTAGACCGTAAGAGGTCCGGGTCTGTAAGACAAATTTATCACATCTTTGCCAAAATCACGATTTTCAGAAGAAAGGCTTACCCAAGACAAACTCTGACAATAGTCATGGCAAAATTTGAGTGAAAGCAAGATCTTAGACCAAACTCATACTGCAAAGACAGAACCATCATTTCAAGTCAGCAAGGATAATATTGTTATGGTTCATAAAAGCTAGCAAAACAAAACTGGAAAAGAAAGTTCTTTACCCATATCCAGAAGAAATAAGTAATCTCGAAAGCGTTCTGAGCCAAAAGCCAAGAAATTAATGTTAAATGTTCTGTAACTTAGTAAACAAAAAGATACAACAAATTTATTATCCCTGTATCCGAAATCAATTGTTACATTATCCCAACTTCTTAAAATACACCTATTTAGGCTTTTACTGTAGTAGAGTTATTTTATCATCTTTCAATCGTACAATTGCAGTAAAGTATCAAACAAAGCGATTTTTTAGGGGAAGTAGTTATGATGATACCTGAAACAAAACATAATGGATGAGATACAGGATGAGCTGCGGCCAGCCAAACCAAAAGTTTTTATCAGAGACCTGGACAAGAGGCATTCCTTGGATTACCGCATGTCTCTCTGTAATTTCAACTGCCATCCGTGTTATGACTGCTTGAAGCTTCATCCCAACTGACAAGATCACCTGCATGACCCTCACAGTTGATTTTAATAAAAACCTTTGATTGTACAGCATAAAGGATATGAATATACTAGAAAAATATGAGAGTATCTTACGATGAGAGGCAGGAAGGACAACCAGACCATTGAATCCCATTCTGAGACAATAATAATTGACTAGAATCAGAAAAGTACAATAAAATGCACCCCAGAGAAGGAAAATAAAATGAACAAGAAATAAAAAGTCTAGCAGAGTAAAACAACTTACTATCAACATTAAGAAGTAGAAAAAAGACTGCAGATGCCCATAACAAAGGACTGCCGATACCAAAATGAAATTGAATTCAGAAATAGAAAGGTTTTAAGGACAAAGAGCAATAAAAAAATAAATAAAAAAATAAAAAACAACGAAAAAAAGATGTATATAGATATTTACCTGATACCCACAACTACCTTAAAGTCATCTTCCAAGGATCTTTTTATGTATTTTTGAAAATCAAATTTACTTCCTGGTGCTAGGTGAACCTATGAAAATGGTAGTAAATTAACTTTTAGCAAAGTAACAAATTTACAAAAGAAATAAAATGGTGTCAGTTGAAGAACGTACGCTAACAAATCCATGACGCAGTGCCAAGTAATCAGATTTACGAACAGTTCTGTAGAATTGCCTTAAGAAGCAAACCTGTTAAGGTTTCCTTATTAGTAACAAATCGACCTAGCTTTATATTCAAAAACAGAAGTGTGATTAGGATGCAAATCATGCAATGCACATTTTGCTGGCATAATTTATCCTGAAAGTCAAAACTATAAATCTAGAACCTCCAATTACATGCTAAAGCTAACTGTTAAAGGTAACAAGAAGGAAATAATTGAATAAGCAGAAAATATATAACAGAGTAGGCAAAAAAAGTAAACATAGATATTGAAACCCAAAAACAACAAATAAAAAAACAACAATGCTTAAGGAAGTTCTAAATCTTACAAGGGCAAATAAAATGGGATTTTTAGTCCAAAAGCTGGAGTGTCCTTTTACAAATGACGTCTCATGAGTTAGTCGAAACTTCGCAGCATCTGCAAACTCAGAATTTCATTCATCATAAACACTACCAATGCAATGAACACTAAGTAATCAAAATAGTCATCAACTTTCCAATCGTCTTCCAGGTTACAACTACATTTAGGTAGTTAGTGGGGTCCTGCTGTCATTTCAGAAATGGCTCTCCTCCCACTATAAGCCATCTTAGTCTTGGTAGATCAGTTATAAGAGGATAACTACATTTACACAGAAAACTTAAAAAAATTAAGTGTGATACCATAAGGTCAGTCTGAATTACATAGAGGTGATTTGGGCTTCAATAATGTGAGCAAGAATCCAACTTTTAAGCATGATTCTATAATGTATCTTTTGGACAAAATTTTGTCAAAATCCAGTCATACTGCAGTCTCAGAAAATCAGAAATGCCTAGAAGATAATTATATAATGAGCCCATGCTTGGCAAAATATTGATGCTAGTTTATTTAAATTTCAGATTTTTGAAGAGAAATCATTATATCAGATAATTTAAGACAAAAGAGATAACAGTATAGAACCCAAAGGCAACGTATATCATACCAGAGTCAAAACTGCCTTTACTGTTTACTGCTTCCAGTTCCCAATCTTTCCACCTGCGAATCTACGTAGAAAAAACCACATATAGCATTTATGTTCAGCCCATGACCAAACCCAACAGTGAGACAATGTCCCATTTAATTTCAGAGCTACCCTTATGAAATAACTTAAATGAAGCACATCTATTAAACATAAAAACCTCACCTTCATTCTCCCAAGTGCCATTGTAATACAACTATAAAGTACATGAAAAACTGCCAAGAAGAATATAAATATGTGTAGTTGATGCAATCCATTGGCAGAAATCAGAGGCACAAAACCCTGTTGTTGGAAAAATGTCAGTGAAACTCACCAGACACAAATTTTCAATTTCCATGATCAGAAACATAAAACCTGATAACAGCTTTTTAAAATGAATGATAGTGAAGTGGATCCTTTGCAAGTCTTTTATTTTTTCTAGCAGATTCTACAATCATGGCTGTTGGCATTGATTCTTATGAGAGAAGAAAATTAACCGAGGTTTTGAGAGTTCTACAAACTAACTTATATTCTTCCATCCAACCAAGAGCTAATAGTCATTAAGATAAGCTTCATGAGCGAAATACTTTGCAACTCTTAGCAATGAACAAGATGGTTATAGAGCAACTTACTTTGATGTATGAGAGGCTGAGAGCAATTACAAAATTGCATGATCAAGAGAGTAGAAATCTAATGTCTTTCCAATTATGCAGCTTTAGGATTTAGAATACTAGAAACTAAACATGTACAGTACGGCATCAAATAGTAAGCACATTACACTATAGTGTTATACCAACTCACCTCCTTACATCCAACAGCAGCCCCACCTCCTCCTAACATTCTATGCTCATACCATAAGAGCCTGCGATGATGTCCTCCATTGCCCTCTGCGGGTTTTTGATTTCCTTTATGGCTTTTGGGCTTATAGGCACAAGGCAACATCGTATCTGCGAGTTCCAAGGGTATACAGATACTGATAATGTAGTTCTGCCCAAATGTGAGAAGTAAAGAAATGAATCCCAGCACCATCAGCTCTGCACATAGGTGAAGAAGTTGCTGATATAGTTTTTATTATAGTTCAAATGTTTACAGATTTTTTCTTTAAAATAGCTCCTACAAACCAAAAAATAACTCAAACAGCTTAACTTTCTACTGCTAACCTGCTTTAACCTTCTCGAGGGCTTCAAATAAAGCTTTCTTATGATTTTTATGAAAGTACTGGTGATCACATTGAGGTAAGGAAGAAAATGTTAGCACACATAGAAGTCTAAAACACTTGATCATAAATGCTTCTACACCAATTATATTGTCTACATCGCATAGGTAACATACGAAGAATTTCTTATACTTCTCAAAACATACATTACAGATGTTGAGTATCAGCTCAAGGATGCATAACTCGAATGAAGAACAGTTATTTATATATATAAACAAAATTATTGTCATTCCATAATGTTGATACTTTTGTTATGCAAATCCTATCATGATCATATGCATAGGCTCTCATTTTCATTCTACAAATTTCCCAAACCCAAAAATGATTCCTAAACTTGTGGAGTAACCATGAATAAAACCAAACTAAAAAGAGTAAAACGCCCTCCACATTGTTGTTAATGCCTTACACTTCATTTCATTGCATCAACAACAATCCAGTCACAATTTCTTTGCACCCCATTAATCAAAGTTGCATAGAATCCCTTTGCACTCTATTTAAGCTACTGGTAATTATTAAAAAAAAAAAAAAACCGCGAGCGTCTCCTGATCTTACGTGGACGGTATCTTAGACAACAATCACAATGTCACAACTTATTAATTTACCCAAACATTGTTACAAACAAAGAAATTCATCCAACAATATAATTGAAGGTAAAAAAAAATAAAAAAATTACCGAGCCAATAAGATGAAGAACCTTCTCCAAAACAATGGAAATAAGAATAATAATAGCACAAACCGAAGCAACAGCCCATGTTGGTGTTTGATCAAGCTCCCTTGGCTTGCTTAAACCACTTCCTCCTCCACCTCCACCACCTCCCATTTTTTTTTTATTTTTTTTGGGGATTTTTTCCTTTTAATTTAAATTACTCCCTTCAAAATTAATTTGACAAGAAGTTACAACTTTCCTCTTAATTACGTTTATTTATTTTTATTTTTTTTTCGGGTAAAATCAATTATCTTTCTTTCTCAGAAACCCAAACCCAGAAATTCAAAAAACAATCCATGTATTTCTGGGTAAGGTTTTTCTTCCCCAATATTTTTCAATTTTTTTTTACAAAATTGAATAGCAAAAAAAGAATGGAGTTTTTTTAATTCTAAAAATAAGCAGATAAAAGCAAAAATGGGGGAAATGAAGGCGAAAATGCATGGTTTGGGCTAGATTTTCTCTGCCCCAAGAGTTATTTTTGGCCATTATTTTGGGGAAAGATTATTGTTATTTATCAATAATCAATCGATCAAAAGAAGAGAGAAATACCGTTGAATTCAATGATTGATAAATTAAGAGAGAGAAAATGATAAATTGAATTGAATAATTGATGAACATGGGAAGAAAATTTACTGATTGGTGAAGTAGGAGAGACAGAATATGATACTCCGTAATATAATAATATGAAGAAAACCAAAAAATATATAAAAACGCCGTTGCCGGGGATCGAACCCGGGTCACCCGCGTGACAGGCGGGAATACTTACCACTATACTACAACGACCTTGTTGTACATTTGCATCAATAATAATATTGCTATAATAAATGTGATTATTTTAAAACTTACAATTGTTACAATCACATTTTTAGTCCAATATGTAGCATTTTAATCTTTTGCCATGGGCCTAAACAGTAAACACACTACAGAATTACTCCCTAAGTTTTTTTATTTTATTTTTTTTATTTTATATAAATAAAAATACTCCTTCCATTTCATTTTCTTAGTAACGTTTACTAAAAAGGGATGTTACATAATGCTCGCAACATTTTCAAATTTTTTCTTTTTAGGAAAAAATAAAATGATTAATCTCATATTTGCTCGATCCGCTCAAAACGAGCCTATTATATTGACCGGTTTAAAACGTGACTTGCCACTTGTCACCTGTTTATCGGTCCTTATTATTAATAATTAAAAATATCAAAACTTATTAAAATAAAAAGAAATAATCGAACTTTGGGCATGTTTTGATTGACTGAACTGAGTTAAACTGAATATTTTATGAGAGAAAGAAAAGTAATATATATATATATATATATATATATATATATATATATATATATATATATATATATATATATATGATAGACTAGATTACGTTGTGGCTCCGAATGCCGTGGATGAATATTTGCGTATTGGCCAAACAACCTCTAGGAAGGCGTTGCAACATTTTGTCAAGGGGTTATTAAACGGTGATTACCTAAGAAGTCCTACAGATGAAGATATAAGGAGAATCCTTCACCAAAATGATAGGCATGGTATTCCTAGGATGATTGGTAGTATAGACTGCATGCAGTGGCCAGTGGGAGTGGAAGAATTGTCCTATGGCTTGGAATTGAAAGCGTAGTATGCTAGTCATAGCGAGAATGCAACCCTCATTCTAGAAGCCGTTGCTGATCAAGATTTATGGATTTGGCATGCGTTCTTTGGAATGCTTGGCTCATGTAACGATTTTAATGTCCTTTACCGATATCCGGTGTTTGATGATGTACTACAAGGTCGTTCAACACCAATAAATCTATCGGTGAACGGTCATTTGTACAACTTAGGCTACTACTTAGCCAATGGAATTTACTCGAGCTGGCCAACTTTTATACAAGGTATAACACATCCTCAACCTCAAAAGGACAAGTTATTTGCTAATAAACAAGTAGCAGCTCGGAAAGATGTTGAACGGGCCTTCGGAGTTTTACAAGCTAGGTTTACTATACTGCGACAACCGTCACTTGCTTTCGATGAAGACATTTTGTGTGACGTAATAGCTTGTATCATTATGCACAACATGATTGTAGAGGATGAACGACAAAATTAAACTACACATGTGCTGAAGTTTTGAGACAGTACTACAAAGAAGATCGCCCCCAACGTACAACAGTTTGGTCGGAACCGAGTACAAGTGCCACGGTGAAGAACAACGAGCCTTTCGAATACAATGTCGGACGTCCAACCAACATTGAATTTTTTGACACGTATGTTCAGAGACGGATTGCCCTTCGTGTGATAGAGAGACCCATTTATCTCTCAAACATAATTTGGTAGAGCACATTTGGCAAAAATATGGTCCTAATAATGCCGAGTAAATTATTGTAATGTGTCGTTAATTACTCAGGTCTATGTTAAAGTAAGGTTAATTTACAATAATCTGGTCTGTATCCGTACCATTATTTCAGGTCCAAAGTATTCGTATTATCGTTATTTAAAGTTCCATTGTATTTTTATATTAATGTAATATAATTAAGAAATGCAGTTTTAATTAAATAATTACGTTCCAAAAAAACATTTTTAATAGTAAACTTTTTTGGTTTTTAAAAATTAAAAAAAATATATTATTTTAATTAAAGCAAAACAAAATTTTATTACATAATTAATAAAAGCAAAACACAAACTTTATGACGTTAATTGCAATATAATTGTATTCATAAGTGTATCCTATTAGTGTAAACAATTATTAAAAAAAAATATTGAATATAAAAAACGTGATGTGTATTGTGGTGAGGTATAGTAAATAGAAGGAGAGATAGTGGCGAGGAGTTTTTTTTATAAGCATTGATGTGGTAAAAAAAAGTTACTTTTGAGGAGCAATGGGTGAGAGGAGTGAGAAAGTGGGTAGATAGACTCCTCATTAGTGTTAGTGCTCTAATATCCACTTTATTTTAATTAAAGCAAAAGACAAATTTTATAACGTAATTAATTAAAGCAAAACAAAAACTTTATAACTTTAATTGCACTATAATTGTATTCATAAGTGTATCCTATTAGTATAAACAATTATTAAAAAAAAAGAATATTGAAAATAAAAAAGGTAATGTTTTTTTTTTTTGGTGTTTAGAGAGCAACAAGGGCGAGGGTGAGAATCGATCCTAAGATCTCTTGGAATCGGGAGGGAAACTCTAACCACTTGAGCTACCCCTCACTCTCAAGGTAATGTGTATTGTGGTGATGTACAGGAAAAAAAAATGAGAGATAGTGGTGAGGAGTTTTTTTTTTATAAGCATAGATGTGGTAAAAAAATTACTCTTGAAGAGAAATGGTGGGAGGAGTGAGAAAGTGCTCTAATATCCACTTTTAATATATCAAAGAAAAAAAAAATTAAAATGACCTTACCTGTTGTTTAATACAACCAGTCTCTTTGACCCAGGGGCGGAATAATCAGGGAGGCTGGGGTAGGCCATGACCCCTCCTATGATTCAGTTATAAATTAAATATGCATGAATTTATAGCTTATACATTGTAGCTAAGTTGGTTTACCTTGAGGAAATTAAAGGGGGATTCTTCTCGAGACCAGAGTTCAACACCAATTTTTTTCATAAGCTTAATTATAGTTTAGTATTCAAAATTTTATAAGTTTTGCAATGAAATATTAAAAATTATTTCTAGGCGAAATAAACAAATGTTTTTTTATATTTGATCATCTTGGTCCCCTTAATGTAAAATTTCTTGTTCCACCACTGCTTTGACCCATTGGTTTTAACTATAGCAAAAATATGACTTTAGAGACCAACTGATTAAACAACCGGTCTCTTTTAAACATTGCCAACATTACTACATTCATTTAGGAGACCGGTTATTTATAATAACATGTCTCTTCTTTTTATATATTAAAAAAAAAAAAATTGAATTTTTTTTTTCAGGCCGCTAATGATGCACTGTGCACCAATGCAACTCCGCCCATGAATTTATGTTCACAAACTTTAAAAAACATCCGGTTTACAATAAACTCACTGTAAATCGGTCCATATAGCAAGTGTGGGTGTCTGAGTTGGGCTGACACATGTGAGTAATACATCATATTATTTCTCCATGTTATGAAAATATTTCCATTTTCTCTCTCCTTTCTTTATCTCATATTGTACGTCATATCCCTCCCAAAATTAAACTCATACTTCTCTTTCCTTATTTTCCCACTTTCAAAAACTCTCTTTTCTGATTTTTTTTTATCTCTCCTCTGATCTCCATTGCTGAACTATATAGCATTCTTTGTCTTCCATTTGCAATATCATCTTGATTTCCAACTTTAAATTTGTTGTTTCAGTTTTTTGTGTTTTTCTAAAACCAAATTTGATATTTGGACTTTGTTCATCTCTTTTTTTTTATTAATATTCTTTTGTTCATATTTTTTTAATTAGTTTCATTAATTTTTCAATGTTTTAATAAAAAAAAAACTACTCGTATGAGTATTTTCCGATGAATTTTTTGAGCAAGAGTGGAGAGAGAAAGATTTGAAGTCGGAAGAAGATGATGTGAGAATAAGAGATATGAATTGTGTTATTATTTCATTAAGAGTTACACCATATATATAGCTATACAAAGCTGACCTACGGGCATTAACAAGTTGCCGTAGATAATCCTAAGAGGATATATACACTTTGCATAAATTAAGCTAAACATTAGGAAACTAACTAAATTAGAGTTGACTAATTTAAAAAGAGATAAGCTAAAATACAGTCCTTGAACTATGGCATTAGTTGCACATTTGGTCCCTCATCTTTCAAATGAGGCAAATTAGTCCCTCTACCACCCTTGTCTCACCATTTTTGGTGGAGGAACTTATGAGTTAGCAAAGTTTGGGGATGTATACTGTCAACTAAGCAAAAGTTAAGGGACTTATCCTAGTTAGGATTTGTTTAGGGATTACAAGTCATTTTTTTTTGTCAGCTACTAATTAATATTTATTATTTATTATGTACAAACTTTGATTAAAATGAAAGAAAACATACCCAAATTTTTTTCTTTTTTTAAAAATTAAATGACTTTTTTTTTTAAAAAATATGACTTAAAGAATTAATGAAGAAAATTAAATATGACTTAAAAAATTAAATATTCGACTTTCTTTCAAAAAGATAAATTAAATACTTCGAATTAAAGAAATAGGAAGAGAAAAAAAAAAGGTCAGCCCTCTGTTCTTCTCTTTTGGTTTGGCTGCTCTAATGGGGAAACAATCCCCTACTTTGCACCTCATTAACGATCATCAGCAATCACCATCTTTTAATTTCAACCTTTGATTTATTTTGTGATTTAATTAATTCAGCCAAACTGGAGGTTTGGGTTGCGTGGTTGATTAATGACGGTGGTGAGGCTACAGACTGAGGGAAATGGGGTTGTGTGTTTGCGGCAGGTTGTTGGTGATGTAGGGTGAGAAAAGGTGGAAAATCATATGTATATATAGGGGAAGGATCCGGTAAGAACTCATCCTTATATAAGAACCTTAGTTATATAAGAATCAATCTCATCCGTAGGATTAGATTAATTCGGACGGTTCAGATTAAAACACGTATCCTCCCTCTAACCCCTTACCCACCACCCAAAATTTTCTTTCTCTTCCTCACGTTTCTTTCCTCCTCTCTCTCTTCAAACCCCAAAAATCTCCCTAATATTGCA